AGTTGGGCACAACAGATTATAGTGAATGGGGTGACATCAGGCTGGTGTCTTGTCACTAGTGGGTTTCCATAGGGCTCCATCCTCAGCCCTGTGCTCTTCAATATCTTCATTTATTACTTGGATGCAGGACTCAAAGGAATAGTAAGTATGTTTGGCAAGAACACCAGACTGGGAGGAGCCACTCCCTCAAGGGCAGAGAGACTTTGCAAATTCGAGAGATGGGCAATCAGCAGCCATATGAAATTTAAGAAGGGCAAGTGCCAGATTCTGTATCAGGAATGGAACAATGCTGATTTTGTTTATTGACTGGGGAATGAGAGCCTCGGAGAGCAGTGCCTTGGAAAGGGACCTGGGGGTCCTGGTTGATGGCAAGTTGAACATGAATCAGCACTGGCAAAGAGCCAGCTCTATCCTGGGATGCATCAGGCACAGCATCACCAGCTGGGCAAGGGAGGGGATTGTCCCACTCTGCTCTGCACTGGGGCAGCTTCACCCTGTGCACAGTTTCAGGTGCCACAATATAAAAGAGACATTGAGTTATTAAACAACATCCAAAGGAGTGACAGAAGGATGGGGAAGGGTCTGGAGCCCCTTATGAAGAGGGGCTGAGGTCACTTGGTTTGTTCAGTCTAGAAAAGAGGAAACTGAGGGGAGACCTCATTTTGGTCTTCAACATCCTCACAGGGGAAAGTGGAAGGATAGGCACTCATCTCTCTGGTAACCTGTGACGGGATTTAAGGAAATGGCATAAAGCCGAGACAGGGGAAGTTCAGACTGGATATCAGAAAAAGGTTTTTCACCCAGAGGGTTGTTGAGCACTGGAACAGGCTCCCCAAGGAAATGGTTACAACACCAGCTTGTCTGAGTTCAGGAAGCACTTGGACAATGCTCTCAGGAAAATGTTGTATGTCTTGGGATGTCTTATCTAGGGCCAAAAATTGAGCTCAATGATCCTGACTAGTTCCTTCCAACTCAGCATATTCTATGGCTCTATGATTCTAAGAACAACAGAAAAAAATATTCCCATTCATTATTATCCATGACAAACTACTGAATCAAGGAAGAAACTGAAGAATATTATTATGTATGCTTGAACAAGCTTGAACAAACAAATCATCTTTCCAATGGCACAGTTGGAAACAGAATCAGAATCTTGATTCACAGCCTCCTGTGACAGCCACCAGACAGAGCTACTACAAAAATGTTCAAGGTCATTTACTTAATTATACTTATAATATTATTGGGCATTAGCTCAAAACGATTATGCAGAAAATTATTGCTTATGTTCCCAAATTATCATTTGCTCTGAAAAGTTGTGTGGAGCAGAGAAGTAATTTCCATGTCTGTGTGCCTCCTTCTATAAATAAATGTCTACATTTCAGTTGCAACACAGCAAGTACAGTTAAGCTGAAGGACTGAATGGTTTGTCTCAGAATGGAACAGTACTTCCTAAAAAACCTTTTACAGAGAGCAGATTCAGGTAAGAGTCTGATTTCATAGACTTAAAAATTTTGTGTCTTGCAGGCTTACAAGAATGCCCAATGACAATTCTATTTAATTTCATCATTCTTCTTATTAAATGGTTTTACATATAATTTTTTCCCTAACAGCTATAAAGAAAGCAGAAGTAAAATAAGAGGAAAAACTTGTTTACTGTGCAGATGAATGAGCAGTAGCAAAAGTTGCTCAAAGAGGTTGCAGAGTCACCCTCACTGGAGATATTAAGAAACCATCTGGATGCAATCCTGTGCCATGTACTCTAGAATGACCCTGCTTGAGTAGAGAAGTTGGACCAGATGATCCACTGTGGTCCCTTCTAAAGTTAACGCATTCTGGTATTCTGTGAAAATATATTTTTTAACAAATTCTGTGCTGAGCTTGAGTACACACACCTTCTTATTATGAATAAAACCATTATCTGGAAGATAAATCAAATTATGTCAATAAGGTGTATTAATGTCAGAATTCACTTTTTAAAAATATTAAGCATAAGAATACTTTTATTATAAATAACTATTTTGTCTGAAAATTGGTTCTCTTAACAAGATTTAGCAAAACAGTGTTCTGAAATTTTTTCTCACCAAAAATCTTGGCCAAATCATTCACCATATGGAGACTGCCTTACTATCTTTAAAATTCAGAAAGGTAGCTCAGAGGCTTTACAAATTCCCATGGCATGATTACAGTTGTTGGATAGTATCCTGGTATGTACATATGGGAGATGAAATGCTGCACATTTTCACGTACTACTTTAAACTTTTTTTAAAAAAGGAAGACAATTAATTTCAATTTACAACAGAATTATTCCAAACCTGAATTGGTAGAGTCATATAAGACATTAAGTAGATCCCACTAGGTGTGTTGAGCAATTGACCATGTCTAGTGTTTAAAAACACATGGATTAACTTAACTGTACTCACTGGGGCCTAAGGTTTGGTAGACTGATGATGCTGCAAGAAGCTCAGACATAAGGTAATTACCTCTTTCTCTTTGGGTTATTTTTTTTTAATTTTGTTTTGTTTTGGTTTTGTTTTCTGTTTTTGTTTTTTTGTGGGGTTTTTTCACATGTATATCAGCAATTATGTGTTAAGTAATGTACTACTAATAATCTATCCTTTTCTCACAGACTTAATGTGACCAGGTATAAGCTTGGAAGGGGCCTTTAAAAATATTTTAATCCCCTGACATCAGCATAGATATTTTTCTCTAGATTAGATTTTTCAAAGACCTATCCAACATGGCCTTGAACACTTCCAAGGGTGGGACATACACAAATTCTCTGATCTGTTTCAGTGTCTTGCCATCCTCATTGTAAATATTTTCTTCCTTATGTTCAATCTAACCCTGCCTTCTTTCAGTTTAGACCTATTGTTCCTTTTTCTGTCACTACAGGCCCTGGTGAAAAGACCTTCTCTCTAAGTCCCCTTTATATATTGAAAGGCCACAATAAGCTTTGCCCAGAGCTTTCTCTTCTCCAGGCTGAACAATTCCAACTCTCACAGCCTGCCTCCAGAGGAGAGATGTTCTACTTCATTAGCTGTTTTCATGGTCCTCCTCTGGACCTGCTCTAACAGGTTCATGTCTTTCTTTTACTGTGGGCCACAGAGCTCCTCTGTTGATCCAGCTAAATAAAGGATGAAATTTTTATCACTGTCTCCTTATTCAAACAGTCTGTGATAACTGGCACATTCAGGTGTTTTTTATAAACTCTGAACAAGACAGCAAAATCTTAGATTGGTTCTATCAAAATCAATGAGATGATGCAGAGAGGCAAACTCACAAAGCCAGATGGGCTCCACAGTTGGGGTGAGCTCTAAGAAAAATGTGTGCGAAAATTAGTTAGAACAGTGTGCACCAACCATATCATTCAGAAACTCATGTGAATGCACTCAGTTTATATGGTGTTCTTCTCCATTCACAATGCACTTATCATAGTAGCAGGCCATTTAAGTATAATTTTTTGTTTCATTCAGCTATCCAATTTATGCTCATGCTTCATTTTATGCCACAGAATAGTCTTCAGATGGAACATTTAACCCTTTTTCTTTAATGGACCCTTGAATTTTGCATTTTTATTTTCAAGTCTCTTGTACTGGTCAAAGTACCAGAAATTAAAGGAAACTCTTGTGCAAATGACTCCCACTGTTGACACTTGAAGGCTTTCAACATACTTGTCAATGTTGACAGTAAATTTTTTTGGAATCTATTAAATTGTGTGCATGCACACGTGGATACCAATTTTCTGCATACAGGAGATCACAGAGACAGAAACACAGACACAAATGTTAATGTATTTCTCCCAGCACCACAGTAATGCAATATGGATGGTAACACAGGTGTAAAAGCAAAATCTTTCTATACTCTGAGTGACTGCTGGTATATGAGGGTACAATTAAGAGAGAGACTTTGCAGAAGAGGGTACAGATTCACTGGAGTTAACAGAGACAAGGGGTAAAGGCTTTAAACTGAAAGAGTAAACTGAGAGTAGGTTTAGATTAGAAATTAGGAAATTTTCACTGTGAGGCTGGTGAGACACTAGAACACATTGTCCAGAGAACTTGTGGATTACCCATTCCCAGAAGGCTTCAAGAGCAGGTTGCAGTGGAGTTTAAAGCACTCTGGTCTACTGAAAGGCGCCCCTGACAGTCTGGAACCAGGTGATCTTTAAGCTTGCTTCCAATACAAACCACTCTATCATTTTAAGATCTCCTTGTTTTCATCTGACATGAAAATATGGTTATGTATAGGAAAATTTTTTCAACTCATATCTCTCAAATGTATACAAGCTTTACATGAATTCATAGTCAATTTTGACAGCAATATTGTTATGAAAATCTAACAAAAGGTATTATGAATTATGGTTTTTGGCGTTGCTGTTATTCTTTCTTTGTAGAAGTATAAATGGCAAAAACCCCACAAACCCAGAGTATGAAAAGAGGATTTAATTAATACTGCATTATGTCAGAGAGTACAGACATACTAAGTCTCTGTATAAGGAAAGAAATGGATTAAGAATATTAATTAAGGTCCAAATCCTTATTTTCATACTGGAGCCCTCAGTCCATTATTTCTTACCATAACACCATATCTCACTTTCAGGTTGGATTATAAATTCTAGGAGGCATGTACATAACAGATAAGCACTCTAGCAACATAAGTTAATAACAATAATGAGTAACTATAATGAATCATGCCTCTATTGGGGAGGTCCAATGTATCCAGGAAAGTTATGGCTAACATTTAAAATAGCTCTAAATTCCCCTAATTTTGAAGATGTTGTAATTCCTTAAGATGACTCCATGTTCATATTGTCATGCACTTAATGATCATATTGACTTTTAAATTTTAGAGACAGTAAGTAAATGTAAAAATGTTACAGAAGAAAATTAAACCAAGATAAGATTTCTATTTGCTTTAAGAACAATGAAATGTGGAGTGTTTTTCTGTTTGGTTTTTTTTCACATGCACATCAAACTAAGTAAATAAAATTTAATACTCACTCCTGTTATGTAACGAGGTCTATACTGGATGGTTCCAAATAAGCCAAGTATGACTATAATAATGTGTATAAAATTTGCGAGGATGGGTGCCCACTGATAACCAAGGAAGTCAAATATCTGCCTCTCGAGCACAGAAACCTATGATTAAAAAGCAAAAGCAAAAATAGATTAGAACAAACCAAAAAACATATATAAAGGTATTTCCCCTTCCCATATCCAAGACAATTGCTCTGAGTTAAAAAAATACTTGTGAGAAGTAAAATAAGATGAGTTTCAAATGTTTCAATTTCTAGTTTCAATGAAAGTTGCACTTCTCACTAGTTATTGAATTATATTATACCAAGATACTAAACTGTTCACCTAGAATGGTATGTTTGCAGGAGGAGAAACACAAATCACTCTTTTATACACCAGCAAATGTTTTAGGGTATAAGTGCTGAAGACATCTGATAGGTTTATGACATCTTCTCAGTTACATTATTTCCATTTACAACATCATCCTTTAGCCTGGTCCTATCCCTTCCATGATTTCACTGCATTTTGATTTTTATCTCTTCTCTCTACCCCATCTATTCTGTCAGTGGGCTATTACCTGTAACCAAATACATACAACTTTTTGACCTGGTTCTACTGATAATGACTATAGTTTACTTCCTTCCATTGTCACAAACATCAGCTGAAGTATAAACTTCCCCAAGACTCTAGATAAATAATATTAAAAATCAATTGAGGAACCATCCCAGGATGATGATTACTGTTTATAAGCAATACCATTCCAAACAGACAGATGAGATATTAGAAAAAAATGCCTTGCTAACAATAGAAATAATTTCACAATTCCAATAGCAGGTGTCCCTTTACTGGTGTTCTAACATAATGTAAAAATACACTAAATACACTACTTTAGCCCAACCCATAGGTAGAATGACATGTTTTGACAAAAATAGTATTTATGTTAATATTAGAAGACAATATAATGGTAAAGTGAATTTAGACAGAAAGATAAAGGAGTTTCTTTGACAGCATTCCAACAATTTTGCTAACTGGAACAGTGAATGGATGAACTTTATGAAAATGAGAATAATGAAAATAAAATTTTAAAAAAATTATGAATAATAGTAATCAAAATAACAGCAATGTAGACACCATACCCACAACAAAAGAGAAGGAGAAAGGAAGAAAGAGAGAAAGAGAGAAAGAAAGAGAGAAAGAAAGAAAGAAAGAAAAGAAAGAAAGAAAGAAAGAAAGAAAGAAAGAAAGAAAGAAAGAAAGAAAGAAAGAAAGAAAGAAAGAAAGAAAGAAAGAAAGAAAGAAAGAAAGAAAGAAAGAAAGAAAGAAAGAAAGAAAGAAAGAAAGAAAAAAGGAAGAAAGGAAGAGAAAGAAAAAGAGAGCAGGTGGTTGTTTCTTGATTAAGTTTCATTAAATAACAGGCGACTATTTACTGAGATTATGTTATGCTGTGCATGAACTGAATTAGGTTTATGTGCCAACCACTCTGCTTATTTAAAAAATAACACCTTTTGAGATCAAGTACTAAATGAGTAATTAACAGCTGCTCTTGTATGATATAGCTATCAGAGAATTCTTCACTTTTTCGTGCCACGGTCCACTATAACATGAACACTTTCTTTTTGAAATTAAATAAGAAAACTTTTCATTAAAAGACAGACTACATTCACATCAGCATTGCAAATGTAAAAAGGCTGTTAATTATATGCTATGTACTGACACTTGTTGAACTTTGAGATGGAGACTGCCAAAATAATCCTGGGAAAGTTTGCCAGCCATGTAATTTCAAATTTGAGTGTTCAGGTTTCATGTCAAACATTGAATTTCTCTTTTCAGCAAAGACTACTTTCACACAATGCATCCTTCTTATAACCAATCTTCGTATTTTGACTGCCATTTTATTTTATATATTTACTGAAAGAAATTATGTTCCTACATTATCCAAACATTTCTGAACTATTTGTGCTATCCTACAACTCTCCCTAGTAGAGGAAAGTTACAGAATCCCAAGACATGTCTAATGCTGATAATGGGATGAAGAAATAAAGAAGAAATAAAAGGAAGATCAAGCTGTATTGGGAACTTCATAAAAACTCAGATTGTCTGTGCTTCTAAGTTCGTCATTAAGAAATATGTCCTTGATTACAGACACAGTAATTTATATTAAAAAAAGGCCAGGATGTGGCATGAAGCAGTATTACATAGGTCAATGTGAAGTCTATTAGGTGTATCAGCAAAAAACCTGTTATACTTAAGTGCTGTTAAACAGGTATTAGAGTGAAAATATTCCAATATTCCCTCTGAGCAGAAAGCTCTCATTTTTATCAGCTAAACAAAGAGTAAATGAGAATAGCAAAGCAGTAGCAAAAAGAGTATAGACTGTACACTAGACTGCTTCTAGTTTAGTCACAGTAGAGATTCAGCAAGCAAAAAACAACACATGGGAAGATGCAAATCATTCAAACAGCAGGAGATCATCCAGTTAAGTATGCCAATTATAGAGGGAAATTGCAGCATGCTAGTTAATTGTATAAAAAGTAGAAAACCTCATATCCCTGACATGACTTCTAGTCAAAAAATGAAACTGTGCTACCATGCATCAACATGTTTTGTTTTGCTTGTCTTGGTGAAAGATGCAGTTCCACCAAAACTTGCATATGGGACTGCATAGGATAAATGGCTGTTCTGTGAGAATCTTTCCTTTTCATACACCAATGTACTCTTTGTTTTTTTCCCATTACTAGCAATTCCTTCAGTATCAAGCAACCACTCTCAGATTTTGTGGTCGTGTTGAATTTGGGGTGAGTCAATACCAGAAAGCAGGGCACGCAAGACAGGGGGTAAATACAGAAGAAAAAGACAAGGTCTGCAGCACTTCTGTCCATGTATATCTACCTCTCATTTGCCACAGGCAGACTTGCTATTATATTTTCTCACGTCACTTCAAGGAATCAGCTGTGTGCAGGAGCTGCTGGATATGTGAAATGGCAGCACTCTGGTCAGGTATGCACAGATGAAAAGCTGTGGAAATACAACTCTTCCTTAGAAGATCACACTAACATGGCAAGGTGCATTGTGGATTTATGTAATGGAAATTACAGGACAGAACTAGATCTTTATTCTCACTTCCTAAAGAGATGAAGGTGGAGAGAAACTAAAACTTATCCACAAACAAACATAGATATAATACAGTCTTTCTACATGAGTTACTTTTTTAAAAGTCTCACTTTGTCTGTGTTTCTAAAAGGAGAAAAGTGGAAAGTAGGACAAAGTAGTAACAAAGACTATTAAAATAGTATTATGTAGCTTCCTTCTCTTCCACAGATGTCAGAATCATAAGGGACTTCTTTACATAGCAAGAGAAAATATAGATCTGATTTTGAAAGCATTTTATCCCTTTACTTCAAAATTTTTGGTTAAACAACTGCACTTCTTGAAATCACACCTGCTAACTTCAAATGTTTAATGTGTTTCAAGGATATTACAGAGAGAAACGAAAGAACTAACAAAGAAATATTAATTTTTAAAGTAAAGGAATTTTCTTCCTTCCTCCTCTGGGGTTGATATTGGCACTTTCCACATTTTTGTTATTGACGTGGGCAGTGGGGTTTCACGCACCTTCAGCGAGTTTGCTGATGACACCCAGCTGTTTGGCGCAGTTGACACGCTGGAGGGAGGGGATGTCATCCAGAAGGACCTTGACAGGCTTCAGAGTCCATTTGTGTGAACCTCATAAAGTTCAACAAGGCCAAGTTCAAGGTCCTCCACCTGGATCAGGCAATTCCAAGCCCAAATACAGGCTGTGCAGAGAATGGATTGAGAGCAGCCCTGGGTGGACAGACTGGGCGTTGCTTGTGGACAAGAAGCAAAACACAAGCTGGCAAAGTGCACTTGCAGCCCAAAAAGCTAGCCCCATTCTAGGCTGCATCAAAAAACAGTATGGCCTGCAGGGCAAGGGGAGGGATTCTGTCCTTCTACTCTGCTCTGGGAGACTCCAGCTGGAGTGCCGCATCCAGCTCTGGGGTCCTCAATGCAGGAAAGACATTGACTGGTTGGAACAAGTTCACTAAGGCCACTCACAGGGCTGGAGCACCTCTCCTGTGAAGACAGGCTGAGAGAGTTGGGACTCTCCAGCCTGGAGAAGAGGAGGCTTCAGGGAGGCCTTATAGCAGCATCCCAGTAGCAAAGAGGGGCTTACAAGAAACCTGGAGAGGGATTTTTTTTACAAGGGCGTGTAATGACATGACAAGGGGAAATGGCTTTAAGCTGAAAGAGGGTAGGTTTAGATAAGATATTAGGAACTCTGATAAACTCTTTCTTGTGAGTGTGACAAGGTATTGGAACAGGCGGCCCAGAGCAGTTGTGGACTCCTCAGTCTCCAGAAGGCTGGATGGGGCTTTGGGAAATGTGGTCTAGTGCAAGATGTCCCTGCCCATGATAGGGGTGTAGGAACTAGATAATCTTTAAGGTCCCTTCCAACCTAAACCATCCTGTGATTCTATGAGTCTGGGAAAGAGTTTAAACTGAGAAAAGCAAAAAGGAAAAATGGATGCTTTGGATGAAAAAGTATATTATGGTTGGGAAAAAAAAAAAAAGTGTTTTAATTCAATTCCACTCTAATAATGCAGTGAACTCAGAATGCAGTGTTATGGGCAGCCAGGTTCTAATGTTAGAAGATAAACACCCACCTCATTGTCTTCTTAGGCAGATTATTAGATGTATTCACTGATAAAATTGCAGAAGACTTAACGATTTAAAGGAGCTATTGTTGTAAACTGTTGTAAAAATAAATACAAAATAAAAGGAACCCATACAGTGTCAAATTGGCATAGCTCAAAAACTATTTCCAGATTCTTGTCAGAGGTTGGTTGTTAATAGATTAACAGTGTTACTGACCTTGAGGGATCTATGAATTGAATTTCCAGGGGAAAATGAAAAATATTTGGAGATGATTCCTAAAGTATATGATTGGACTAGAATTTCAGACAGGAACCACAAAGAAGAAACCAGTCAAAAGATGATTTATAACACAAACTCCAAAATTGAAAATGACTAAGTGCTTTTTCTCAGAAAGCTCCTTGAGAACAAACTCAACCACGACTACTTTACAATGATATAGAATCTAAACT